GTCAACTTATAGAAAACAGAACGGTAAATACGAAAGTGAAAAAATTGCACAAAACGAAAAACGGGAAGGGACTCATCGGAAACAGTTGCTGGTTTTGTCGTGACGGCTCTTTCAGGCTTTGCTTGCGATTTTTGACTCACCCGTCGTTCTTTTTGCTCCGATTTTACTATGGGATTGCCCAGATTCAAATTTCAAGCTGATAAGAGAATTTTTACCTCTTTTAGCGGTCAGAGGTGGCTCTAGTGTGGCGTCAGTCGACGGTCGGCTCCCTTCTCTGGCGACTGGTTCTTTTTCTTTAGTGGAAGGCTGGCGGTTAGGATTTGGGTTCAGTATGATGTAAAATATTTATACCTGTCTCGCGTTAATCTAGGCCGTTCATCGCGTTTGATCTCGATCATCCGATCACATTTAAATAATAAATAAATTTAGACCATTCATCGCGATTTGATCTCGACCGTTCGATCGTATTTAAAGAAAGAACGAATCTAGACTGTTCATCGCGTTTGATCGCGACTGTCCGATCGTGCTTAAGGAGGGAACGAATCCAGACTGTCCACCTGCGTGATAACACTTCTAGGTCGTCCAATCGTGAGGCACACGGATCGCCAGCATGGCACCGAGTCAGCACGTATTGCCATGCGGCATGCTCCGGTTCGTCTAGACTGCTGACTGGATGATCCTACATGGTAAAGTTTTCCTTAATTGTATTCAGACCCTCAGTTTTTTATTTTTCTTTCAAACACACCATCCGAATCCAAATTTTCACCCATTTTCCTCAAAATTATTTTTAATTTTATCTTCAACCTATTTTTTTCATAATTTCAAATTAAATTAAAATTTATTAATTTTAAGAATAGATTTTTATGCATTTTTTAATGTTAAAATTAATCCCAAACCAAATTCTGAGACCGTGTATTACAACTCTCCCCTCCTTAAGAGAAATTTGGTCCCTTAAATTTATCTCCCTCTTACTCAATCAAACAGTTGAGGATACTGGGATCTGAAGTCTGATTCTAACTCCCATGTGGTCCCTTTCTATGTGTGATTCTGTCATAGGGCCTTAACAAAGAAAATTTTTCGGTTGCGGAGTACTCTACTCTTTCAGTCTATAATGTCCACCAGTATCTCCTCATAGGATAGATCCTCCTGTAGTGAAAGGGACTTATGGGCCAAAATGTGAGAGTAGTCTGAGTTGTACTTGCGTAAGATGGAGACATGAAACACATTATGGACTCTATATAG